AAACGTGATGGACTGATCTAAACCGGAAGGGCCATCTACATTTGATTTCCGCTCTATATATCAGTCTGTGTGGGCATTCGAGTCTGTGTGTATGTGTATGTGTGTGTGCATGCGTGCGTGCTAGGATGGGGGTGATTGGGTAGTATGTGATGCTGCTTTTACCACCGGCTGGTTGGATTAGATACGCATAAAATAGGACCGACTGCGCCGGGAATATGTGANGAACCGTCCAAGTTTGAATACCTCCAAAAGACGACATTAATAGTAAAGAAAAGACCTTGGGGTTTCTTAAGAAATCATCCCGGACCACGTTCGAATAAGAGCTCTATCCAACAATGGATTGATAGTCTCCAGAATTGGGTCCGGGCTCTGTGTGTGACAAAACGTTGTTATCAACCTGAGGCCGGTTAGCGGCCGAATTATCGGTTACTCTAAGCCGGTACAATCTAGACGGTCATCTTGTATGTAAATTACTCGGCATGCAGACATCGAGTGTTTGCAAACATGTACTTTCGTGCTAATCATTTAGTTGGGTTGATTTAAATCAATATTCCTCTTATTTCTAAACGAGAAATTGATGATTAGGAGCAGCTTTTAGATTTCAACAATGGGATATCATTGAATGATCATTTTATGAGTAACAATGTGGTAGTACTTTTATCACTGACATCATCATCACCATCATAGGAGTCATTAGAATTATGATCACCAACGAGGTCGCACACAAGCTCCTATTGTGTACCGTGTGAATGAGTGAGATAAATTAAAGAGTGGATCTGCTTCAAGGGGTGGGGGGGGAGAATCCCGTATTATATCAACATCGAGTCAAACCGCGGATTTACCAAATCGGCCGGGTAAGAAACATTCGCAGGGATAATATTTTTACTTACAGGAGTATCGCATGTTATACGAAAATACTGAAGCCATACGAGACGTGACAAATGGTTTGACGATACAGGAAAATCGTTTAAGCTTTCTACAATGCGATCGCCACACCTCATTTCATAACCAAACAGTGTAAAGTCAACATTTGTAGGAAATGAAATGTTTCAACATTCGTTAATCTCATATACCTCGATACTTTTTGATCTGATTCGCAAACAGTGATACGACTAAAGTTTGTGCGTCGAGGTTAAAGGACTACGGGTTGCGACCAAAGCATGGCGGATTTTGGCTAACGGATTGTGGGTCTTGACTAAAGCATGA